TTTATTGAGCCCGGAGACGAGCTGAATCCGATTGACCGAGACGTTTTTTTCAGAACCTGGGTCCCTCTTCCACTCTAGGAAGACTTCCTACTTGCCAGTCTAAGTGCATGAATCCCTTCCCAGATCTGAATGCTACTGGATCACAACGCCGGAGGGGATAGGAAGACATTCTCCCAGCAGAGTCGGCAGAGGTGGAAGAAGAAGCGGCAGAGTCGGTCGCACTCCAGTCCAGTCAAACCCACGAAGAGGTCTTCATCTGGTAGATGAAGAAACTGATGATGAAGCAGGGGGAGACGTCACAGCCCAGCATGGCAACAACAGCCTCTCAACATTTTGTTCCTGAAGGTGTTGCTGCACCTGTTTCTGAAGGTGTTGCTACACATGCTCCAGAAGATGCTGTTGGACCTACTGTTTCAGCAAATGTTCCTCAGAATACTGCTGAGGATGCTGCCCCTTATCAGGATGAAGAAATGCCTGATTTTTCTGGAATGTCATCAGCAGAGCATGTAGACATTCCATCTGTGGATGCTCAAGATTTCACCACCACAGAAGAACCTCCACCAGCATCAACTCAGGGGGAGACATTTCAGTCCAACATGGCAGCAACTCTCTCTCAACATCCTGTTTCCGAAGATGTTGCTGCACATGTTCCTGAAAATGCTGCTGCACCTACTGCCTCAGACAATGTTCCTCAGAGTGTTGCTGAGGATGCTGCTTCCTACCACGATGAGGAAATACCTGACTTTTCTGGGATGTCATCTGCAGAGCATGTTGACATTCCCACTGTTAATGCTCAGGACTTTACCACTACTGAAGAAACACCCTCAGCTCCTCATGAAGATCTTCTGGAAATTCTAGCAAAGGCAGCTGTTCAAGTGGATGCACCACCTTCCCAGACTGAAGAAGAAGAGAAAAGTGAAGAAGAAGAAGATGCTGCTCCACCTGTTGCATCACCTGAGCCAGCATGCATACCAGATGAACTTGAAGACTTAGAAGAAGAGGAATCTTCAGAAGAAGAAGAGCTAGACTTGGATGGGAAGGAACTGTCAACTCTTTTTTTGAGGTAAAACAATGCTTTCAGTTATATATTTTATTTTGAATCTGATTCAAATTGAGGAAAAGAAAATTTTCAAATGATGAGTTTGATAGGCATAGGATCACTGTTTTTCTTGATCAAAGTTGAGGTTGCCTGTCCTTATGATCTTTCTGTTGTGAAGGAATTTTTATGCCAATTTACAAACTTCTTTTTTAAAGAAAAATTCTCCAAACTTTGAAAAAAATTTTTGTGTGAAATTCTATTTTTTTTCAAAATTATCAACTCTCATTTACAAACTTCTACTGTGATTGATGAGGATAATTATGGTGATTTTACTGAAGTTTGTAAGACTCTTTCTGGCAATCGTTTTAAATTCTTCTCTCATCTACTCCATTCTGCTCTCTCACACTTGGCATGATAATTGTTTTTCAAAATTTTCTAAAAGCTCCTCATGTCCAAGATCTTCCCTGGAATGGAGATAATTCCCTCTCAACTGAATCAGGTCAAAATAATCTTGGTACTGAAGGTGTTGCTCCTCATGTTGACAACACTCCTGACATCCTTATTTCTGTTTCTCGAGATTTATTTTGTTAAAACAGCTTACTCACTCCCTAGTTCAGATCACCTATCATCAGTGCATGGTGGAAATACTTCAGAGAGATCTTTCTGATCAAAAAGGGGGAGAAAAAGCTAGTCATGAAGATTGAAGCAGGGACTTCTCATCCTTTGGATGCCAGAGGCAGGGAGCAAGGAGTCAATAAAGAGGGAGCAAGGAATGAGGGTGAAGTTCAAGGAACAGAGGAAAGCAGTGGATCCAGCGCTAATGATGGAGGAGCAGCAGCTGATACTGAGGAGACTTTGGATATTCTACTTTAATTTGTTTTAATGAACAATACATGGTTTTGTTCAGTTTTTATTTTCCCTATGAACTTTTATGTTAATGTTGGTTGTCAAATTCAGGGGGAGTTCAAGCAATGACTCAGGGGGAGTTAAGCTAAAATTTAGTTTTGATCAGAAAGTTAAAAAGGGGGAGTTTGAAACACGTGAGCGTGGATTATCTCCACGTTGTGTTTTTAACTTTCTTATTTTTTAAAACTAAATTTTAGTTATGGAATAAGTAGTGCTTAGTGGGTTAAGTATAGTACTTAGTGGGCTAAGTAGTGCTTAAGTGGGTTTAATTGTGAATATTATTCTAACTCCTTAAACTAACCCACTAACCCACTAACCCATGTTCTTGAGTGCTCTTGTAGTTGGTTTTTCTTGCAGATCATGGGCTGAGGAGTGGATGCTTGGAATGCCTATAAATACCGACTTCAATACTCAAGGAAGATATTTGATTCTACGAAATAAAAACCAAGGGCTGAAGAGAATACACGAGTGTTTTAGTTAGGTTTTAGAATCGATTGTTTGTACTCTTCATGAGTACAATCTTTACGTACTCCTTATGAGTACATTCTTTACGTACTTCTCATAAGTACATTCTTTGTAGTCTAGATTGTTTAGTATATATGTTTCTAGACTTGGTTGTAAGAATGATCAAGATAGTGATTCATTCATAAGTTCTGTACGTACTCTTTATGAGTACATTCTTTGAAATCTAGAATTTTTAATATTTTTCTTTTAGTATCTAGATTTGGTTGTAAGAGTGATCTTGAAAAAGATTCACTCATAAGGAAGAAGTTTTCGCACTCTTCTGTTTGTATTCTTGGAATACTGATTTTAATATATTTTTCGTCCTGAAAAGGACAAGTTCACAAGTCTTTACTTGTGAACATTTTTAATTCTGAGCATTGTCCTTTAAATTGTTATATTTCCGCTGCATGTTGTCTCAAGTGTCATAACATTTTAGACAACATCTCTGTACAACACGAATTCGGGACCATAAATTATTTCAAAAAGTATATCCATCATTAATCAACAACCCTTCTTCTATAATTAATCCATCATTAACAAGAAGAAGAGAAACATTCACTATGTGGATGAAATCCCTCGTCTTCCATGGAAACGGTTGCACCGTATTTAACTCGAGAGGCGAAGTCGCTTTTCGTGTCGATAATTACCAACAAAAATGCTGCAGAAAAGTCTTTCTCATGGACTCCTACGGCAATATTCTCTTTTCTTTAAATAGAAAGGTACGCACGCTGACGTAAGCAAAAATTTCTCTCGAAATTAAATACATATATATCTAATTAATTAGGTACCTAATTTTCTTTTAATTAATATTAATGTTTAATTTGCAGAAAATGGGAGTTTTTGGATGTTGGGAGGGATTCAAATGGATCGAATCGGAGCGTAGAAACGAGAAACAGCCGTATTTTCAAGTGAGGAGAAAGAGCAATTTTTTTAGCAAGGATATATCTTGCAAAGTTACTATTAACGGATTTGACGACGAGAATAATAGCATCACAAGTTGCTATTTGATGACGGGATTCGAAGGAAAATCGACACTCAAGATTATCGATTTTTCTGGCCGGTTATTATTGGCAGAGGTTAGTTATTTAATTATTTGGGATAGTATATATATATATATTTTGAGAATTTTAATTAAAAAAATATTTGATTTAATTAACATATGATTTAATAAATTGCAGGCCATGCAAAAACAGTCAATAGAAGGAATTGCTTTGGGAGATGATGTGCTGGCATTAATGGTGGAACCCCATGCAGATCAATCTTTAGTCATGGCTCTTGTCACAGTTTATGGATTGATTAATAATAAATTGTAAAGTGTCCTAATAAATTAAAATTGGAGATTAATTTAGTTTTTTGATTGAGGGAAAATTGTGATCAATTGTTATAAGTTGAGCATGTATAATATCCATGTATATAATTAAGCTTTCTTTTGCTTCATGAATTTTTATTTTTCTGTTTTCATTTTAATTATTATATTTATAATTTATAAATACTAATAACAAAAATAATTAAATAACTAGCATTTTTCCCCGTGCGATGCAGGAGATATTATTTCAAAAGTGAAAAAATATCAATTTAATTATATACTTAAGATTTGAGATATATTGATGAAAAATAGGAGGTTAATAATTGTTGAAAATTATAGTTAGAAAATTAGTAGAGAAAAATATTAAAAATAAATAATTACAAAAGTACCATTATGGTAGAATTCTTCACGGTTTAGTTTCAATTTTGATAATTGTTAAAAATTATAGTTAAAAATTAGTAGTATTAAAAAAAATTAAAAATAAATAATTACAAAAATACCATTAAGGATTTTCTAGGGTAGCCCAGCATTTCTTTCTTTTATATATAAGATTAGTGGGTGGCAAAGACAAAATTGTATTCTCCGGAAATTAAATTACAATTAAGTATATGTTAACAAAAAAAATATGTTTACTTAGTTTCTCATAACTATTACATGGCTAATACATTAAGGTCTCGTTTGCTTAACGTATATCGGATTAATTTGAATAATCTGATGAAATTGAATTAAGGTCTTGACTATACGTAAAAGTCAGACTCACAAAGACACATATCCACCTTTCAAACTCAAGTCTCGAGCCTCCACGTGAAAATCATATCATATTTGAATTCTAGAACAAGCTTCTAAACTCTTAAATCGAATTAGGAGAGAAGAATTAGTGGAATTCCTGGAAATCGCAATCGACGTTTTCATTTTGATTTATAAATTTATTCGTTCTCTATTTTTTTTTGTTGTAATTTATTTACTTTTGCAGACTCCAGAAATTTATGGTTAATAGTAAGATAAAACAAAAATTATTGTTGGGATAACTTTATTATCATTAATTAACATATTATTTGGAAAATCGAAATTTCTTTATTTGTTTGTGTGAGAAGCAGTTCGAATTAAATTATAAACAAACTTTATAAAGCACGTTTGATAATTTGATTATATATATATATATATATATATATATATATATATATATATATATATATATATATATATATATATATATATTAAGTAAAAGGTTATACAAATGACTGTGACAACACAAATTATATTCTCCACACACACACACATATGCAAACGTACAAAACATGCACTATCATCACCTCACTAATCTAATTCACAATAGATTCTGGATAAGAATTCCACATTGTGTGGAGATAACTAATCTAATATTGCACAAATTGTCTTTGGGGTTACATTATTGAAACATTTTTTTATTTATATATCTAGACTCATAAGTCCAAATTTAATTGTATGTTATTCAAACTAAAATTAGTTATAAACAAATAAAATAAAATAAACTCTGGCCTTTTGGTGAAAAAGCCTTAAGAAAATAATTTACATCAATTTCATACAAAAATTTCTAATTTATCAAATATCGTATATTGACCTTAATTTTAATAGAAACTACATATTGACCAAATTTGACAAATCTTACCTCCGGGTGGTTGTAATTTACCTTATATATATAGGGTAAATTACAACCACCTTTGAGGTAAAGTTAAGTTACGAGACCCCCCTCATGTTTGGGTAATTACAACCATCTCTTGAACTATGAATTCTTACACATCTACCCTTGCAGTGTCAAATTTAGAGAAGTCTTCTAAATTATGTGGAATATTGTCCAGCTTATATCTGTTTTACCCTGTTCGAGTTCAACTTTTTGGAACAAGATGGTCATAAGGTGTGTCTATTGGTTTGTAAATATCAGATTGTGACACATAAGAAACAACATTTTGCACAAAACGCGAGTACAAACTAGAGAACATTCTACGTAATATAGAAGATTCATAGTTGATGGAGTGATTGTAATTATCCAAACAGGAGGAGTGAAATCCGGAATAAAAGTGTAATTCTCCCGCTCGAGTATAAATATGTAATGTACTTTGTTCTAAATAGAATAAAAACAAAGGGAAGCTTTTTATAGTTACAAAACTCAATCCTGCAAGAATGACATGAAATAACTTTTTTTTTTTTTTTTTTTTTTTGGGTTTTTGATCAATCAAAATTTAAGCAATAGGAAAATTAGTGAGATTTTTACATGTAACTGCTTGGAATAATGGGTAGAAAGAAAATGTCATATATATATATACAAGTATTGATAAGTGATTTTTATTTTTATAATGGGGAGTCCGTCGGCGTTGCGGAGAATAATCTACTACGTCCCGAAGAATGGTGGTACGGGTACGAGTACAAAATCGGCTACGTTCGTGGAATCAACAAGTACAAGATCGTGAGATTTTCTTACCACGACCACGATAAGTTGTCGCAGGCCAAGGTTTTCACGGTCGGGCTCGATCTCGAGTGGCGAACGATCGTCGTCGAAGACGACCGATCGTTCGATTTCTTGTTTCCTCGGTCGAACGGGGTTTCTTTCCGGGGTTTTTACCATTGGATTCCGAAGAACGATAATAATAATAATAATAATAATAACAATCGGATTCGCACTTTCGATTTCTCGTTGGAGAAATGCGGTTTCGGGATTCCAAAGCCTCTTGAAATTAAGCCGCTTTCGAATCACAAGAACACGTATTTACGAGTGCTCAACAACGATCGTCTTTCGCTGATCGACGTTTCGGTTTGGGGCGAGATTACTATATGGACAATGGAAAAGTACGGTGTTGCGGATTCGTGGTCGAAGAATGTGATATTGTGTTCGTTAATTAGGGGGGTTCCGAGGAGTACCACTAGACGAAACAACGAATATAATATAATCACGAAATTGCCGAATGGAATCATCGTACTTTCTCCAAAGGGAGGTGATAAGAAAACCTTTATCTCTATCAATACCGAGAAGCAACGGTCGAATAAAGTTGACGTTCTCGATTTCGGCAAAGACTTACGGTACAACTTAATGTTTGCGACTGCATTTGCTCCGAGATTTTATCCACTCAAGGACGATACGAGCGGAGTGCTGCACCGTAGGAGTAACCGGAATGCGGTGTCGAGTAGAGTAGACGTGCCTAAATATAGCGTTGTGTCGAGGTTTTTGTCGGCTTTGAAGAGGTTTCTTCGTTTTGTTTATAAATTGTTTAAATAAATATTAGGTCTCTAGCTTCGATATATAACCGGGGGTGTCAATGAATCGAGTCGAATACATTATTGGTCGAGTTCCGGTTATGATGTTTGATCGGAAGGTAACTTTTTTTTTTTTTCGAACTTTCAAATTAAATATATATTTAATTTATAATGTTATCTATGCGAATTTTCAAAATTGTATTGTTTTATTCTTTTATGCAAATTTTTGAAAATTTTATTTTCGAAGTTCGTCGTCAACATAAAGTTGGATGAGAGTCGTAGTATATTCAGTAGCATTCCAAATTTTCTTGATATTTGCAATTAGTATCCATGTGTATTCTCGAACTTTCTGCTTCTAATTAAACTTTCTGCTTTTAATAATTAGAGGAGTTACGGGATCTGCTGGGTTTTCTTATTTTTTTTTTCTTTTTTTTTTCTTCTAATTATTAGAATTTTAATTATATTTTTATTTAAACTATCCACGTGTCAATCATCCTATGGCATCCGATTTTTTTATTGGGGTTATTTTACATACCCCCTAGCCACCAAATAAACTAGGGATAAACCCAAGCCCAAATTATCCTTTGACATACCCCCTGGAGAAGCTAAAGTACTATACTGCCCTTATGTGCAATTTTCGGCCAAACTGCATTCAGCATTTATGGTCCTGCATTTATCATTTTCGCTGATTTATTTATTATTATTATTATTATTTTATTTTATTTTTTTATTTTAATTTTCAAAACCATATGTTTACAGTACTGAAAATAACTACATGTAACTATAGTACCTATAGTAATTCATAGTTATGTTTGTTTTTTTCCCCCATATTTTTAGTCGATCAATTGTATACACACACGAATACTGACTTATACAAAATAAATTCATAAAACCCCAACAAAAATTTACAAATTTAAATATTTTTATTATAAATCACATCAGAACCAATAAAATACAAATCGAAAATACACAAATATACGCATATGTAACTACATGTTACTATAGTAATGTATAGTAATGTATACAGTCTGTTGAACAGATCAACAACAAAAAAAAAAAAAAATTGACACCTTCAAGGAAATGATCAATGGCCTTCATTAAGCTGCAATTGCAAAATCAAAACAAAAAGAAATTACTTTAGTGCAAATCAACAAATTTGAAGAAAAACATCAAAACACTCAAAAATCACCAAACATTAAGAGATCGAGAGATAGAGAGAGAGGTTATTGCTGGGAAATGCTACAGATTTTAAATCAAACAGACAGTGACTCCTCACCCCCTCGCCTCCTACCAAAACCCTAGACGCCGCTAATAACCACCAACGGTTCCGCGCACCCACAAATGCAAAAAATATAGAAATAAATCTGAAAACATAAAAATAAACGAAATTACCATCAAAATATAGATCCCGACGAGAGGAATCCAACGGTGGGTGACCCGTCAAATTTCGACGGGTGGAACACAAAATAAAGCTCCGGCAAGACCACCGTCCTCGAATGAAAAAAAATTGCAGAAACAGATCAGCGTTCGAAACTGAATGAAATCACCACCAAAAGAAAGAGCTCGGCGAGAGGAATCCAACAGTAGTTAAACCATCGAATTCCGACCACCGGAGAGAGAGTTATGGCTCCGGGAAGCAATTTCGCCGGTGGGAGGTTTGTGGAGGCGGGATTTTGAATTTGGGAGAAAAGAAGAGAGATACCGTGAGTGGTTAGAGTTTAAAACTGATTTTAGAAGGGTATTATAGGAACTTCAGGGTAGCCCAGAGGGTATGTCAAAATATTTTCGAAACGAGGGGGGTTTCCCCTAGAGTGTAATCCACTTGGTAGTTAGTTCTATATAATTTGGAAACGAGCTTCTACAAAATAATCCCTTTCCTATTATAACAGGTCATTGTACCCTTTTTTTAAATGACACCGTTGACCCATTTACAATTTACCCATTGACCGCTCGTGAAAATGGAAATGCATAAACACCTCAAGAGGATTTTTGCAAAACAATATTAATATAAATAAATTACAAAATTAAAAAGAAAAAGAAAATCTCAAAATCTCCAATCCAACTCTGCCAAAGCCTCCGCTCCAATTTGTTTTCCCCTCTTTTCTAGATAGCAGCTGCCACCATGAAAAAAACTTATCTCGAGGGGTAATTATGTCATTTTACATCAAAAATTCCTTCATCGTTACACAAACTGCGAGTGAGCCGCACAAACATGCACCAGGTGGGAAAATTGCATTTGACTAAAACACACAAAGGGGTTTGAGTGAGTTTTTTATCACATGAATTTTCCTGCGGTTCGAGATTACACAAGGGTGCTAATTGCAGTTTACTCAAATTTTATCTTCCAAAAGGATTAGTAGTTTCAAAATCTAAGTACTCTTGTTAATATTGTTATGCTTTACTATTCACATTCCGTACTTAATTACAGGTTGATTAACAAATTGCTCAGAATGAAGATTGCTTACATATGTAATCATCAATTAACTCAATTTAATTTTCGTTACGACTTTTTTTATGTGACGTGGCATTCCATTTGATCCACACGTGACACCCACAATTTGAATACTTTAGAAGACTTAAGACTATTGCTGACACATTATTAAGCATTAAAAAATGCAATTGCAATCTATTCGGTTTCGACTTTCGGGTTCAAGGTTTCGAGTTTAGGTTTCGGGTTTTGGGTTTTTCAGCTTAGCGTGTTTAATAAAGAACTTAATAACAGTTGACATGAAAATATTTAGTAAAAATATATCACTGAAATAATTAGAAATACTATTGGTTGAAATGCAGACAAATTAAAGTATACAGTAGAACCTCGATAAATTAATACCCGATAAATTAATAACCTCGCTTAAATAATAAATTTTCCCGGTCCCGACTCGGGGACAACGTGCTAAATTAATAATTCGCTAAATTTATAAGATAATACACATTCGAAAAAATTAAGAAGCCCCATATAATATATAAATTAATAATGCATAAAAATAATTCTTAAAGTACATGGTATAGTACATGGTTTATAGATCTATGAAAGCTTAATACAATATAATTTAATTGTTGCTTGTTTCTTGTTGAAGTTCACATTACCATCAATCTCGTCCCTCACTTTTCTTAACATGGTTAGAACTTTTGGTATTGTTTTGTCGTAACTCAACATAAAATCGATCTATACCATTGCTACTTTAAGAGATTCCGTTCGTGAAACGAGCTCTATAATGCATTGAACTAATGGTACAATGAATAATATACACGTAAAAAAATTAAAAAAAATGGATTTATTGAAAATAAAAATAAAAGTAATTTCATAAATTAATAATTTATTAATTAATGTATAAATTAATAGTTATTAATTTATCGATAAGTTAATATTTCGCTAAATTAATGAAATTTTGATGATCCCAACCGTATTAATTTATAGAGGTTTAACTGTACTATGTAAAATATATTACTAGGAAAATGTCATGTGTTTGCCATGAGAAGCTATTTATATATAATATGCTAAAAAAATAATAAAAAATAAAAATATAAGAAGATGAATACTTAAGTAGTTAAATCATATCTGTCAAAAACTTGTGAATCTTAGTCGATGGAGACTTCAATTATGATCACTAGTATATTATACTTGACAACTAATAGTGAACATGTTACATGCTTCCTAGCTAGCATTTCATGAATAATTAATTGATTTTCTTAAGTATTTATTTTTGATCTTCTGAATCTAAACCACTTGAAATAAATTCATTATTTAGCAAAAAGAAAAAAAAAAAAAAAGAAAACCCGTGAGATTTGTTCCGACATTTTATGTGGTAAGGGGTATTTATGTCAATTTTCAATGAGTTAATCGACATATGCAATTTGGGTGCAGTAAGTGAGCGTCTAAGGAAGATTTGTGGCAATTTCAAGATTGTCTCCACTTATTTGAGACAACGGGGACGTTGTCGAATTAGAAATAGAAGATGTTATGGACTGCCAATGCTGGGCCAACACTTAGCTATTTTTCCTTGGATCCCAATTGTATATATGAGAGTTGTAGAGACTATTAGAGCATTCTAGAAACTTCTCATTGTAGATATTTTGTAGCAATTATTTGGAGTGTTCTAGAGAACAACATCTTAACAATTAGATCAAAATGATTGTAACCTTCCATTGAGGATAATAAGGATATAATAACCTTGAATTTTAGTAGTATTATTTCATATTGTGACAACAAATAAAAATTAATATCCAACATTAAACAAGAGATTATAGAATAAAAAACAATACATTTACGTGCTTTGCACGTGTTTAGTTAATTCTTCATTTGATGTCATTTGTGTAATTGTAAATGATATTTAATATGAAAGTAAATGTTATGGTTATTAAAATACTTTTCTTGTTAAATGGATAGATAGAAATATGAGCCGCTGCGAGTTACAAAGAGAAATTGGTTACAAAGAGAAATTGGTTCGCAGCCACAAAAATCTGTTGGGAAATGAGAGCTAAGAAATTTTATGATTTTTTTTTCTGAGTTGGAAGAACAACTCCTAATGTTTCCAATAATCGGTATATGTACTATGTTATCGAGCAACATGTTGGTCATCGATTTCGAAGGATACAATATACGATTTTGTTGTCAAGTTAATGGAGAGAAACTTAGCGGGCTGCGAGTCACAACGAGGGTTGATGTCATTGGTTCAAAACTAGACTTCACCGAGAACATTCTTCCAATTAGGGGTTGAACTTAACTTTTGTCTTTTGAGATGAGAAAAGTGAAAATTAAATGATAGAAAAATAGAAAAAAACAAAAATAATTTCAGAAAAGTTAGTGTTATATTCCACTAAGTGCAACACAAAGTAATAAAATGTGATGTAATGAAAAATATGGCATTTCATGAGTGGTGAGAAAATGGCTAGCTGTGATGGAGTATATATACTAATGGTTTTGTCCGATTTCTTGTACCAAGACACGTCGTGTCTTATTAATTTTTCCATATATTATTAGTTTTGCACTTCATTTGTTACGTTCTTTTTTATGAACATTGATCATAATGTCTTTCTATAGATATAATCTAATTTTATTTAATATTGAAATCATAATTTTATATATTTTTCGTTATATTTTCATTCATGATTCAACTATCCTTTTTCCCTCGGCCTTTGTCAATTGGCCCTTCGGTGAGAAAATAGAATTCAGTTGATGTTCTAAAACAATTCCATGTAGACATAAGCTATGTTAGTAATTGATTAATTAAGGGCGAACTGATACTTTGTGAAAAACACTTATAAGCTATTAATGAAAAAATGGATGTAGGAGTGTGATTACCAAATTATCGTCATTCTGGGTTAGACATGGCCATGAATCATGAATCGTCAGATCACGATTAAAAAGTACAAAAACGTTAATCAACCCCTTGAAGTAAGGGTCGGATTATTGTTCAAAACCATCGATTCACATGCTGGTTTAGTGTCAGTTCAATTGGTGACTAACTGTCGGTATAGGCGTTTTAACTTGCATATATTCCTTACATTTTTTTCTTTATGTTTTAAAAAATTTCAGGCGAAAAATAATCGGGCTGGGCGATTCAATCCGCCGGATTAGATTCCGCACACAATTTTTTTTTTCAACTGAGAAGAAAAATCAGTAATGTACATTTACAACATTACCCTCGAAAAAAAACTCTTGGCCGAAGGGTGATTTTGGACACACAAAAAAGTGAAGAAACATCATAATTATTCATACTTGTATATAGTTCAACAAAAAGAAAAAATAATATATATATTATGTGTTTGTGTGTGTGTGGTGTTTATTTTAATAATCTGAGTCTACGGTGACAAAATCAAATATACTTGCAAGAACTTGCATCACAAACGTGCATATAATAAACTAAAGTCAAACACAAATGCTTTTTTCTTTCTTTTATTACATATAAACATAAATTCTACATTTCTACTCATTTGCAGTCCATTATCATGATCGCCGCTAATGTTCGTCGAATCTGATGGCTAGAATACACCCTAGATCACCACCAATGATTGACGGTCGTATTAGCCAATACTCGTCATCGGAAAGAGAAATATTCACCGTTTGGATGAAATCCCTCGTGATCAGCAGCAACGGTTGCACCGTCTATAGTTCGAAAGGCGAAGTTGTTTTCCGTGTCGATAATTACCAAACAAGGCGCAGCAGTGAAGTCCTACTCATGGGCTCCAACGGTGAAGTGCTCTTCTCCATTAAAAGAAAGGTCACTCATATATTATATTTATATCCCAATGTATTATTATATGTGTGTGATTGTGTGTAAATTAAATACGATAACACGTATTTTTTTTAATTTTTTTTTTTTGGTTCTTTGTAGAAACTACTAACTTTCGGAAGATGGGAAGGGCGTAAATTGGTGAATTCTAGGTTTGAGAAAGAGGGGGAATGGTTTAGAGTCAAAAGGAAGTGCAAACTTTTAAGGAGAGGAAGAATTACATGCCATGTTATACTAGGATGTAATAAGACCAAAACAAGTTGCTACAAGATTGTAGGGTTTAAAGGAAAATCAACCCTCAAAATTATGGACCGCGAGAGTCGAGTTTTAGCACAGGTAATTAATCAAAACTATAGACGATTCTTTTATTCGGTACCTCAGTATTGCATTGAATTGCTCGTTTCAATTTTAAAAATACTGTTTCAACTTCTAACGTAATTTTGACTATTCTCGAGTTTGAATTTGGCAAACTTGAAATACATGATTTGTAGTTCTTTGAGTTAGTTTTTTAATCCAACTTGAATTGATAAGACTGGATGTTATATGAGAAAGATATGCATAGATCAGTAACACTGACCAACACTTTGATATTTTGAATTATATATCTTAAATTGAAAATGTAATTAATTTCATGTATAACTTTGTCATCCGACATCCAATCAACCTGGTCAAAATTGGATTAGAAAGCTAACTTCAAGAAATTTTGCAAAATGAGAATAGAAAATTGTCAAAATCACGTCCGAAGTCAAAAGTAGTATCAGTAAAATTGTGAACGACATCTAACATTTCAGTGCAAACAGCTTCCTATCAAACAACCTTATGATGAATAGTGATTAAACACGTGTTGCAGGTGATGCAAAAACAGTCAATGATGGGAGTTGGGGTTTGTTTTGGAGATGATGTACTTTCATTAATGGTGGAACCCCATGTTGACCACTCCTTAATCATGGCTCTAATCATAGTCTATGGTATGATCAACAATAAACTGTAAATATACTTGGAATTGAATTCATATATTTTTCTTTTGAATTGAATTTTTGGAATGCACTGTTTTTTTCCATGTTTTTTCACATTAAATTCATTTTCTTTTTACGACTTTAAATTTAGGAGAAATTTGCTACAGGTCCCTCTATATTATAATTTATGTGTGTAGATCCAAGTCAAAATTTCCATGTTTTAATAAATTAATAATATTTATTGTGACCAAAATACCCTTAGTTTAAATCAAATCAAATCCTAAAAAATCTCTCTATCAAAACAAATTCTCAAAAATCTCTCTTCCAAATATTAACTAAAAATTAAATTAATTCATAAAAAAATACACAATTTATTTTACTAACTTGTACTCTAAAAACCGCTACCGATGACTCCAGAACTTCCTGTGACGTCTATGACTCTGTGAACTGCAAATACCAAACTGAAAATTAGATTTTGTGGTATTGAATTGCAAACAACGAAATACCTATGATTTCGTCAAATACAAACAGCAAACTGAAAAAAAAATCCAGAATTTGCATTATTGAATTGTAAACAAAAAAATTACCTATGACTTCGCCAAATGCAAACAGCAAACTGGAAAAAAAATCATCATCATTAAAAACACCAACAAAAAAATTGTTTATGTTGCAAACAACAAAAACATTAAACAAAGTGTTTGTAAAATGTAACTTAAGACATACCTTTCAAATTGTAAACCAGAGGAATCGAATCTCAACACCAAACACAATTCTTCAAACAACAAACGAAGTTAAACCAACCTGCAAACGAAAATTGCTAACAACAAACGATGGGAAGGTTCTACATACGGGAGACACAATGCGAATTTTGGCTAGAATTTTGGATTTCTAAATTTTTTTTAGGAGAGAGGAGGGGATGTTTGTTGTCCTCTTTAATTTTTTCATCAATAAATCATCTCACATCCCTGGTTTTCTCCTTCTCTATAATATTTCTTCATACAAAAAATAAAGAAACAAAAGAAGAAGAAAAAAAGCAGAGAAGAACGAGAGAAAGAGAGAGAGAGAGAGAGAGAGGGGGGCGTAAGATTAGATAAAGAGGAAGAGATATGAGTGATTAAATATATGGTGAGAGAAACGTGAGATTGAAGAGATAATAAATGAGATTTGTTTTCTTATTAATTAAGGGTGCTTATGTGATATGTCTATATACTAATTATTTTATTTTATTTATATTATTTTTTGGGGTCAAATGACCTATGCCTATATTCATCTAGCAATTAGGATATCTACCCATATAAGTTTAAAATAAGGGGTGTCTACCAAATTTCTCCTTAAATTTATGGCAAATTACAGCCACTCTCTAAGATCATGTCAAATTACGAAAAAAAACCATCTTATTTGAGTAATTACAACAACCCATCAACTATGTATTATCTTACACATCTATCCTTACAATAAAAAAACTACCAAATGAATGACAGGTTTTTTCATCAGAAAATACATAATTGAAGGAGTGGTTGTAATTACCCAAACATGAAGAATTTTTTTTATAATTTAACCTTACCTTAGAAGTTTGTTCGCAAATCGCCCTTAAATATATTTTTCAAGATAGGAAGTGATCAGTTCAAACTCATGATATGCTTATTCTATTGTTACATTTACATTCGATGATATATTCTTTCTGACCAAATTTTGATATGGTAGTTTATTAGATGGAATGAGACAATAATATAATTACTTAATTGCTTGCAACAAATTGATTAAAAACTTAATAATTTGAATATAATAATTCATATATGGAATTGAATTGTGTTGGTGGGAAGGTTTGGAACACACAATAATTATCTAATTAATGATTCCTTGGAATGTAGAATTTTTCATCATTAAATAAATAATAATGATCTAATGATTTCATAAATGGAATATAAACATTCTCTTCATTTAATTTGGACCAAGCATGTCAATATATGAAAATTATTACATAAATTCGGCCCTTACCAAAATATCGATGAGACGTATAAAACTTAAGGTTGGAAATCAGACGGATCAGGTCGAAATTAGCACTTTCGATTTTTTATTATTTTTTTTTGAAACTAAAAACTAATTTCAATTCCGTTCCAAAGAAACTCGGAAAAATCGGATTTTCCGAAAATAGAATGAGAATTTTTTTTTCAAAAAATTGAAAATTTTCAAATCAAAATCGGTGGAATGCAAAAAATTCCATTTTTTTGGTCATATAATGATAGCATATATAATAATATTTATATTATAAATGCATATTCCGGGAAAAAAAAGTTGGAATTTTTGAGGAAATTAAAATCTGAAATCGAAATTAAAGGTTGATTTTCAATCGATCTTTGTTCAATCTTGGTTTTTTTTTATTTGAATAATCCGTTGCCTTTGTACTTTTCTTCGATCGACTGCGATGGCATTACGTTTCAACACAAACGATTGTATTAGGACTCGTTTAGGTGTTAAGTTAAGATACGGTCAACTACAGTGTTACTAAAACTCAATTGTATTATTGTATCGTTAGATTAGAGAAAGTTCAATAATCAATACCAATTAATCGATAAAACTCAATTGTATTATTGTATCGTTAAAGATCAGAGAACGTTCAATAATCAATACCAATTACTCGATAAACCGAAAATAAGAGCTCATTGTTTCCACAATCGCGTTGCGACTGAGAAAAACATCAAATTAAGTCTTAAATTTTAATATATTTTTATCACGAAGTCTAAAATATTTTGTTTGTAAGTTATTTTAAACCTAGTAAAAATTGCATCATATGACCAAACAAAACAAAAAAGAAAATGAAGAAAATAATAAAAGAATAAGGCATCCAAGCACAACTCCTACATTGTTACATCATCTTAGATAATTTTACATATTACATCCAATGAGATCATAAACTGAGGAAAAACAAACAAATTTAAAAGAATATATAAATTTCGAAAAATACTCCGAATTTATCGAATTCCAAAGTTATAAAAACGTTTACGGGCTCGTAACTAGCATTATTTAAGGTTGCGTAAATCCATCACAAGTTGTTGTCTTTCCCCTTCAACCTCTGCAAACTTAAGGCTTATGTCCGAATATCTCTCCTCCATTTCCTTCAACTCCACTTCCATCGATTCGTTCTTCTTCTTCATTAATTCTATCTCGTTTTTCAACTCATCAACTTCTCCTGTTTTCTCCAACTCCTCGATTTTCCTAAGAAGCTCGTTTTCCTTGTCCGAATACGCCTTACCCGATGTTTCAATAGCCGTTTCCTTTAACTTGATCTCGCGCTATCGCACACAAAAAATGGAAAATGTGACAAAAAAAAAAAATTATAGGGAATTATAAAATTAAATAAAGTTTAAATTTTTACCTCAAGCAACTTTATTCTCTCCTTGAGATTTGGTACGACATCTTTATTAGGCCCGCGAAAAACGGGCTTGCTCGAAATCATTTCCCTCTTCTTCAAATCACTTGTCAATTCGAAAACTTGCTTCCTCAAATTATCCTTGTCCTTCTCATTCTCCGACAACGAATGCTTCAATTCATCTCGCTCGAATCGAAGAGCGTTAATCTCCGATTGCATTTTCTCGATTATCAATTCCTTTTCCTCCAAAACAAATCTCATTTTATCCAATTCCTTGTACGAATCCTCCGCTTCTCTCCTCGCCGATAAAACCCTACGCTCGATTTCTATCCTTTCGTCATTCCCTTGCTCCACTTGCAATTCCATTTCCTTAATCGAAATTCTCGTTCTTTCAATCTCCCGAACCAACTTCTTCTTACCTTCCATCTCATCCAATAGAATCTTATTCTTCGCAACATTCGCTTCGTTCTCGTCCCTCATAACCAAAATTTCTTCGGATTTTTTCCGAAGCAATTCCTCTAAACGGATTTTCTCCAAACGAAGCTCGTTCGCTTCGGCCAAAGCTTTCATAGCCAATCTCTCGTTCGCTTCGAATGTGGACCCCATCTGCACCGAAAGCCTTCGAAACTCTTCTTGAAGTCTCTCCGCCGTATTAGCGTTTTTCCATCTCATCTTCTTTAGGGTTTCCTCTGCTCTAATCGCTCTCTGTTCTTGCTCGATTTTCGACTTCGTAAGAGCTTCGATATCCATTTCAAACCCTAGCGCTTGTTTTTCGAGCTCTTCCTCCAATCCCTTCACATGGGCTTCGAGTTCTTTCGAACGTCTTTCAAGTTCGTTTTCGAGATTTTCGATGTAGTTATCGAGCTCGTTTTTTTCGGAAGATGAAGAAGAAGACGAACACTCGTTTTCCATTTGCAGCTGGTCTTGGATTTTGCTCTGCTCGAGCTTAAACGACATCTCGTGATTGGCTTGCTTAGTAATTTCGTAATCGAGCGCCAGCTGTTCCAACTGCGCCTCGAGCTCGTCTCTATCTCTCTTGTACGTCTCGATCTCGGCGAGTAGGTCAACGACCTGTCGTTGTAGAAGATTCGCTTCCTTGGGGATATTTTCGTAATTTCCGTTCACAAGCTTCTCCAATGCCTTCTGTTCTTCATCGTCGTCGTAAAAATCTGATTTTAATTCCCGATTCTTCTGCTCGACAATTTCGTCGAGATCTCTCACGGCAAGAATCAGCTCGGAATTCGATTCTTGAGTTTTCTCGAGCTGAATACGGAGATTGGAATTGAGCTCTTTCGTGTGACTGAGTTCTTCCCTAAGCTCATCGATATCGACTCCGTCGAATCGGAAACTCGTTCGAGATTTTAATTCTTCCTTCAAATAATCTCTTTCGTCTCTCAAGGAAACAATCTCCCTCCACAAATCCTGCCCCCTTTTGCTCTCCTTCGCGATCTGCTTACGGAGATTCTGCATCTCTAATTCCGAAGTCTCCGCTTTTCTCGACAGAGCGGCGAGATCGGATTTCAGCCCTACGATCAGAACATCCGAAGAAGATTCTTCCGTACTGGATAACTCCCACGAGCTGCGATGATCGTTGTGCGTTCGTATAGGGCCGTTGGATTTCGGGCCCACAGAATCCTCGTCGTTCTTGATCGGCACTATCTCCCAAGGCGATTCCATTACGGAGCTGCTTCCGTCTGAACTTGATATCGTAATATCGGACACACTAGATGCTCTGCGTTTCACATTCTTCTTATTAAACGGAATCTCCTGTTATACGAAAGTCCACCGATCATATATTAATCGAAACATCATAAAAAGCTCGAGTTTTTTGAATATTAACAAAGTGCATGAAATTACTTGAATAGAATTGCTTATGATGGTGTTATCTTTCGAACACAATTCGACGCTCTCCATTTCTTTAACCTCTCTGTGAAGATCCCAAAAAAAAATTATATATATAAGTAAAGATTAATTGATATTATGCACACACACACACACACACACACACACACACACACACATATATATATATATAGATTATATTGATGATTAGCACCTTTGATCCAATATGGATTCATGCATCCTCTGGATTGATACCTGTTGAGACACATTTATTTATTCAAAAAAAAGATTAAACAATATTAATTAAAACACAAACAAAATCTAATACATTGTTTTTTTAAACTCACATGCAATGTAGCTTTGGTTTTCGAGTTCTTGAGGGGAAGAGACACCGACGAGGCCTTAGTCGACTCGGCGTAACTCGAAAAATCGACGGAAGCTTCGCCAACAATGCAAGATTTAGACGTGGCCTATATTAATTAACAATACACTAAATAAGATTAATATTAGAATTAGCAAATTATAGCATAAATAACAATGTAAAAACTTCCGGTTTTTCGTACCGTTACTAGTACGAAAGAGTACACCCTCTCGTGAATTTTCGCCGATTTTGGATCTTGATTGAACTTAACGGTTTCGTAAACGGGGTTTCCCCAGTAGCAGTTACCGTCAACGACCGTCGCCTTGTCCGATTTTACGGTTGACTTGCCCGAATCGGCGGGGACTATAGATACTATCAATCCATCCCCTGTAACGTCTGTCACCTGCATTTACATCACAGCCGGTTCACTCTAGCATTTCCAAGAAGATTGAAAAAAAAAATTAAGAAAATTAAAAATCCAATCTTTACTCAAATTATATATACCTGAGATGCATGAAACTGCAACTTGAATACAACTCTGAGTTTGTTCTTCTCGCTCCACCATCGCACCGGCTTGAACATATTTCTATGTGTTTTTTTTAACACACTCAATCACACATTACTCTGCCGGAGCAACTCACCGGAGCTCCGGCGAATTCACCGGAAAACAAGAATTCAACTCGAATACGCACAATGCACAGAAAATTCCAAGAACCCACTTAAAGATTCGTGCTAAAGAGCGCTGAACCGGAGAGAAATCCCGTTTTCGAGGGGAATTCAAGAGGGGACCGAGTTGACTCAGTAAGGTTTTCTTGATTTGATCCTTTCTTTTATTCCTACGGCTATAACGCCATTATTTTCTGTTTTTATTTTTTCTTCTCTAGTAGTAAAGAGAGGCCAGAGGCGTGCCAGGAGGAGTGGCAATTATTTATATATTTATTTTTTTGTTTTTATTTATTTTGATTTTTTGTGGGTCTGATAAAAGTGATTTCTTGAAATATAAAATGATGTGGAAGCTTGTGAGTGTTTAGATTCTTGATTCGGGTATTAGGTGAAAAAAGTTTTGTCTAAGTACTTTTATGGGTTCGCCAAATTTTGTTGTAATTTTGTACATATGTAGCTTTTGCTTAAAGTAGTGGTTTGCTATTTCTATGAATTTATTTATAAAAAGAAAATGAGAGAGAATTGCTTTATTATTTAAAAAAAGAACTAATATATATCCATGGATTTAAAAAAGAAAAGAAAAAATATACATTGTGACTAAATTATTCTTCTCATTAACTTATTTACATGTCATTATGTGTGAATATATATATATATATATCTTTAAATCAATAAGTGTGTATATAAAAGTATGATATGTTGAAATAAATACGATGAGAAAGTTCTACATACGGAAGATGCAATACGAATTCTCGTTACGATTATGAATTTCTAAAATTCGTTTTTTATTTGGAGGGGGCGGGGCAGGGAATGTTTGTTGTCCACTTTTAACTCTATTACAAAAAAAAATCATCTCAGAATGTAAAAAGCTCTCATTTTTTTCTTCTCTATAATATTTCTTCAACCCAAAAATACTAGAATCCGAAAGAAAAGGAAAAAAAAAATCGGAAAAAAGAGAGACATGATACATTAGATATAGGGAGAACGACATGAGATTAGAGAAAGGACGAGTGATATATGTAATTTATTTTCTTATTAATTAAGAATGTTTATGTGTATGTACTAATTATTTTATTTTATTTATATTATTCTTTTGAATTAAATAACATATCTTTTAATTTATTTTGATCGAGCAACTAGGATTTCAATGTATATAAAACAAAAAGAACGAATGTCTAGTCAATTTCTCAATTGAAAAGGTTGACCGTTATCTAAATGAAAGGCATGTTATGTTAGTGTTTACTTCATATCTAATTCTTGAATACTAAAATTAAAATATAAAAGCACCGAAATAGGAAATTGTAAAAATTATATTATATCCCATAAATGGGACTCTATGATTGGTGCTTCAATGATTGGACTTGCTGAAAAGGTTTTATCTTCGATTATTCATTAGAATTAAGTTTTTGTCATTAATATCAAATTATTAAGTTCACAATTAAAATTCTCCAAAATATTAAATAAAAAAATCACATGTTATCTACGCGACTGATACAACATCACTCAAGTCCCTTTACCAGTTGAGCTATACCTTCAAGTTCAAAACTTCGTGTTGATAAATACTTTTGAGTAATTTTCTTTTAAAATAATTTTGAAACGACTAAATTTAGATGTGCACGTAGATAGATGTTCATAAACAAAAATAAGTACAATAAATTTGGTCCCTCAAATAAACGGTAGAAATTGGCCGATGCGAGTTCTGATTTACTTAATTAAAAATTAACTTTGAATAATTTAAGCTTTTGCAACAAAAACCCCACAGTAAAATAAAAATTGAGACTAAGTAAATTTGATTCATTCTAATTATTTATTGACAACCCTAACTTTTGATGTATAATGAAAGTTTTATTAATTAATAAATCAAATTCAAAACGTACAATACCAAGTGAGTATTACTAGTCTAGTAGTCTTCACCTTGACGAAAGGGTGTACACCAAATTTATGAAAATGGCCACGATTTGGTAGTTTGGTAGAGATAAGATAACTTTATATATTAACCATACATTGAGAATTCTTATATACGACATGATTAATTCATTTTTATTTAGGGTAATTGGATTTTGCCCCCTAAACTATAGTGGCTTTTGCACTTTACTCTCTGGACTAAGTTTTTTTACAAATTTCACCTTAACTCAAAAACACTTGCAAGGTGTATTAAATTAGAAAATTCTGATCAATTTTCGCCGGAATCACAATCACATGAGCTGCACCACGTGAGATTTAGGAGGATTGTGTTATGTTAAAAAAACAGGAGAAAATATATCGGTGAAAAAAGGGCTAGGCTTTTAATTCTAATTGAATCAACATGTGTGCCCTCCTGAATCTCACGTGCAGCTTACGTGGTTGGGATTCCGGTGAAAATTGACCAGAAACTGCCAATTTAAGGCACCGTGCAAGAGTTTTATGAGTTAAGGTGAAATTTTGTAAAACAAATTAGTCCAGAGGTAAAGTGCAAGAGCCACTATAGTTTGGGGGGCAAAACGCCAATTACCCTTTTATTTTAGTTTAGCTTTATAGTAACTCCAATTCAAAAGTATCGAAATGAGGTAGCAGATATTTATTTAGTGTTTAATATTTTATTTTGATGTCTATCTGAATGTATTTGCTCCAATCGTAGATATCAAATAATTGTTAATTAAAAATTATTCAATTGATTTATATATCTAATTGTCATATGTCATTTTCTAACTCTACGTTGAGGTGGTTAAATTTATAACTCACGTTTGATTTTTTATTATGCATGATGCATTCTTACATTTTGAAAGGTTAAATGTCAAAATACAGCCTTCATTTGATAACTCCATTGGACTTCAAAATTTCTATTTTTGAGTATCAAAATGGTGTTAAAGATTTTGATAACCATTTAATAACTCCATTTGAGTTGGTCTTAGAGCAACTCCGCACCAATGCTAGACATAAAAATTGAGTTATCAAATACTTATTTAATATCTGACATGATATTTTATTACGATTTAAAATTTATCTACTCTAACCATGGCTTATGACATTAATTATCATTTAAAAGTTTATGGATAGTTTCATTTGTAACTATCATATGTCAACTTGCGAGTGGTTTTATTTTATCGTAACATAGTGATCACACTCTCAAAGTAAAATCCAATGACCTCGTCAGCACTGTATTTTTACAGTGAGACACGAGATTACATGAACAAAACGAACAAAACCTTATTTATAGTGCAGCATAGTATTATCGATAAAAGAAATAGATGCAATATTTTGTGTTGTATCAACCAAATTGTCCTAAATAGTAGTCGAGAATTCGAAAGAGTTTACAAAAACCATCGTTATGTCATATGTGGTGAAAAAAGACGATAAAAGTAGTAAGTGAATTTTAAATTTAAAAAAGAAAATTATATTTCAAAACCGTTGACCACAAACACTAACCCGTGGTTGGGTCAACGCCCATCTCTAGTTTGGATAGATATCCCAAAATTAATTGTGAATTGAGGAATTAAGTAAACGTAAGGTTGTGTCCAAATAATAGAAATTACAATGAATTAATTTGGTGTAGTTTCCATACTTTTCTTGACTTTAAAGATGTCTCACGACTCGCACGTGAACTCAGGCCTGGTGGTTATGCAGTCACTATTTCACACCATAAATAAATCAAACTAAATGTTTAATTAATACTAGCTACCCAATTAGGTTTTTTATTTTATTTTATGATACATATTATTTTTTTATTTTTTTATTTGTAACGAAGGAACACACACCGGTACTGCGTAAACTTACACTCTCGTATAATAACTTGCAAATCATCAACTATATAAGTGTACTGGATAAACATACACTATTATATAAAAACTTGCATACCATACGATAGACGTAACCCACACTAGACTAATCATGTGTGACAAACTCGACCGAACGATTGTTGGCAAAGGGATTCGAACTTTGGTCAATTGTAAAAAATCACTTTCTCCAATCACTAGGTCATCCCTTGCGGGACTCTGTATCTATCTATGATGATATGCATTGCTGGACAAATAGGTAATTTATCTAGTAAAATTGGTGAATTCATTAAAAAAAAAAGGGTAAATTACAATCACCTTTGAGTTAAGGTTTACTTACTAAGAAAAAAAAAAACCCTCATTTGTTAAATAATTTCCACCCCTTGCAATTTATAGATTTCCGACACTAACATCCTTTTGTTGGGGTAGATGCAAGAAATTTACAAACTTCAGAGAGCTGGAAATAATTTCTCAAATAAAAAAAGAGTTTTTTTTTTCGTAATTATACTTATCGATGGTTGTAAATTGCCCTAAAAGATGTATGAGAAAATAATTATAGAGTATATATGTTTGTGCCCATGGCTAAATATTTATCCCCCCAACATCTACATTTATTATGTCGTTTGTACACTTGAATTAAAATATCAGCTATGCACTATAGCGTTACAAAAATAATTCACGAAGAGCAATAAATAAAATACACGAAAATAAACTATCACCTATATTAATATAACTACCCTACAACATTGACATTTATTGTCTTAAAGTATTTAATAAACTGTCACAAAAATTGTCACCGTACCATAGCCCATAGCTATGTTACTATCTAATTCATTTTATATTGTGACAATTATATATTTATATGATGACTTATGTCTTTTACTTTAGTTATATATTATATATTCTAAATTTTACTAATCTATACCTTGCTTAAGTAAAGCTACTAGCACCCACTGCCTATTAACTTGTTTTTAATGTTTTCACCGCTCTTTTCACAGTTAAACTTCTATAAATTAATAAAGTTGAGATTAACAAAATTCTATTAATTTAATAAAATATTAAATTATCGAAATAATAGTTTAATGCGTCCTTACTGAGTCATGACCGGAAGAAATTATTATGTAAGCAATGTTATTAATTTTTCAAATATTGAAATTGCCATAAAATTGAAAACGAGAAAACCAAGGTTGATTTTTTTTTATTTTTTTTTTTAGTTTTTTATTTATTTAAATCATATAGTATTAAATTGTCATCTTCCTACAATATGTGTATTAAATTGTAAAAAACCAAAAATCACATGGTCGGACCACAATATAGTTGTCTTGATCAATACACTACACAAGGATGAGTTGTATTTAAGTTTGTAGTACTGTATTCAAACCAACCAAAAAACATGGAGCTTGCCTCAATCAATGCCTTTTTATGAAAAAATACACCTCTATTGTGAGAAATATTTTGAAAAATAAGGAAGAAAAATAAAATACTAGAACGACGTCGTTTTGGTATTAAGGTGGTGTTTGCAAAAA